GTAACGATTTCCATGTTCGATGTTAACATTCTTGTTGGACCGGATCATGTTGTGTAAGGTGTTATCATTTCAACTATACTTGTGTGGCCACCTATATAGTCTGATCCGGAGGTTAAAAGTTATGNGCCCAAGTGTGAGATTGTTAGTATAATTCTATTACGTGGACTTTCATTTGATTGCGAATTTTACGAATTAGATGTATGGTGTGCATTGATACTGTGATTAAGCTTAATATGTTAGTGATTACTTGAGCAGTTGTACACCTTACGGACTATATTATTATAATGTGGTAATTTTAAGTATGTGAGCCAGAATTATGTAAACCCTAATTAGGGTTAGAGTCGGTAACGGACCGACTGTATGATTTCCTATATAATGACTAGGTCCGCTCTCCTCTCCATATTATTTTGACTTGCCCCATGGCGGCTGATTATTTTGAAGAGCAAGGAAAGAAAGATCTAGCTGGTAATATTCATATATAACAATATCTTCCGAAAGTATGAATTTCGAACTATCAATTAATATATGGCATTCTTGTTCTTAGCATGATTATTGAATAATTACAATATAATGTTCCCGAAGAAAAGACTTCCACTTTGATAAAACGAAATCTAAGTTCACAACAACAAATAAGAGTAACTATAACATCCCTAACTAGAAAGAACCAAGTCTCTTTACGTAACAATTTTGTATGGAAGAAGTTCCATTGATTATATCAATGCACCCATTATGAAAATTCCATGTAGACCTTGGAAGACAAATGAATCTGGGTTGCATAGGAGGAGGCACATTAAAGATACATATATAATAAGAAATCTATTTCCTCTATGATGACATAAGTTTTTAGATGTGTTGGTTTAACATAGTCCTAGTTCAAGTTTGCTTGCATCTGAACTCGTACATGGGGTACATATGACCTTGTTTGAGGGAAAGATACTATTTCCCGCACCATGTTTGTGTTTTGTGAGAGGGTTGTGGTGGAAAGTATGTAAGGATGACTAAGGGGACAGATTCCCTTAGAATAGAATATGGAAAAATTGGTATGAATTATATTCCATTACCTAAAAACTCGTGCATGCAAATAAGAAAAAATCGACACTTACTGGTGCAAAATATTGGATAGATTTTTGACTTACTACAACCAAGATACGTACATTATAATAGGCAAATGCCGCAAATCGTGACTTACTAAAATATAAAAATTCGAGGAGATAAAATAAAGTATGATGCAAATATGTGATTTCTCCCCTTGCACCGGTACTAACAGAATTAAATTAACATCTATTTTCTAAGATACAACACTTTTTCCGAAATTAATATAACTTGCAATTAATTCTTTCATGCAAACCAAAGCTTGATCTTACTCTTCTAGTGGATTGTATCGAATATTAATATCAAATACTAACACTTGAAAATAATTTGAGAATTATATAGACGGAATTTAGAAAAAGAAATAATTAGAAATCAATTATTCGAAATTGATTTGGAATGAAGAAATGAAATGGATTCAATTTATAGATTCAATGTATCTTTTTTGAACAGGTGCACCTTTTAGCATAATTTAATTTTAATCATTAGATAACACATTTTCAAATTGGGACATGATCCTCACCCTTTATGAAGGTCCATGATTATTCATTATGTACTTCTTTGAATAGTTAAACCCAATCCAAAAAATCATAACTCTCCAATATACACCATCTGCATTTGAAAAGTCGCGACTAATCATTACACCCATTCACCCATTGGAGACTTTTCCAATTCACAAATATTAAAAATATTAATCATATCCATTAAAACCATTAAATTTCAACACAAAAAACAAATCCAAATTATGATTCGAGACCTCTGTAATCCTGAACTAAACACCCCCTTAGTTAATAAGGGCTACTCAGCATCTACGAGGCTTTCGCTGCTATTTTGGCCCTATATGTGTTGTTGCACTTGCCTATTTTAAGTATGAGATCTTGAAACCCGTGAGTGGCTATATCTAATGGTCAATTAGGCGTTTGATGAACTCAATAGTTTTTGAAGAAGTCTATGAGATGAACGCTTTACAACTACTTAGACATGATTTCGCATGACATGACTTCTCATTTTAACCTGATCTACTCCTCTGTCAATTCCCTTCACATAACTTCTATTCCACCCAGTCAATGAATTCACAACACTTCAATCTCTCTTTATTTTTTCCTCCAAGGGATCCCTCAGATTTCACCAAACTTCTTATATCTCTCGAAAGATCATTTATATCATCAATGATCAATTCTTTCATATTTCAATCATCTGCTGCTTCCTTTTTCCCTGTCCATTTCATCCATTCCGAACTCTGATTCTTCATCCTGAGTGCACCAATACGAAGCCCACCTCTTCTAAATCCATTACAAAGTAGTCTCCCATCACATCAGTAGAAATCAAGATTTAAGGTGCCATTCGTATACATACAAAGAACGAAGGTCATCTATCTTACATTTTATGGATCTAACGCAAGCAACTATCTCGTACCTGCTATCATCCTTCAAATGAATGATACTGATCCTGTGATGTAATGATCCAAATTATGTCTATCACGGTGTGCCGGAAAAATTCCATTGCTTGAAAGGAAAACAGAGGTGGTTTAAAATTTCGAGAAGATTAAGCAACTTGTTGAGTTGATTAAGGTTTACAGGCTGGACAGTGAAAAGAGAGAAGAAATACAGAGAAATTGAATAGATGAAAAAGAGGAAGTGATAAAGAGAATTGAATAATGAAACAAAGCCTTCATAGTTCATACTGTGCTTGATTGAGGATTCAACAGGCTAGAATATTCTATGAAGTGCAAGAGCATTCAATTAGAGTGAAAGGAAAGGAACATGCAATATAGGAAAAAGATAATCCTTTATAACTTAATTACACAATATTATTTCTAGTGTTAGAATTTTAAAGCTCGACCTTTGGGTGGGATGTAGTCAGTTTTCTAGAGGTTTTGTGGGTAAACACACTTTTCATCGTGCGGATCATGCTGGTGTATCAGGGGCTTGCACGACCTTCAGTATGTTGCCACTATAATTTTACTTCAAAAATAAGCAAGCGTGAAGGCTAACATATAAATGCTTTAGCCTAAGTCATAAATTAAAAGAAGCCTTGTACTTAATAGCACAACAAAGACTCCTCTTCATATACTCAAACTTGGAGAAAGGTCATAAAATACATTGTAAACTCTCCAGAACAATTAATATTTCTTCCAATATTTAAACATAGAGAATTTACACAAAAGGAGCAATACAACAAAATAATGTGTATTTTGTACGCTTATCTAGGTCATTAAATAGGATATTTTGTGGTACTTCTGATAAATTATAGCCTAATTTTGTGTATTTATCTTATGTTAGGAAGAACTCAATGATTTGACGTAAAATTAGAAGAAATGAACGAAAATCGAGGAAAAAAGAATGACTTTTAAAGTTCAAGAAGCAAATTATCCGATAGTGAATTCGGACCAAAAAATAATGATTGAAGAATTCATGGAGTCAATTGGAAGATGAAGAACCATAATCATACCAAGAAAGGACTCGAGATGCATATTAGATGAAAGTGGGGACCAAAATGCAACAGAGTGAAAGTTGCACTGGTTTGCACACGTAGCCATACAGCCATGCGAACACAACCCTTATTTTCAGAAACCCAAAGTCCACTTTCAAATGCCATCCACATGCATGCAATAGACCCAATAGCCTCGTTTCTGGTGGCCGCAAAATGTGGGCTTACATTAGGGGGATCTTTCTTTCGCCCCATATCAATTCATATCGCAAAATGTGGGCTTACATTAGGGGGATCTTTCTTTCGCCTCTCATATCAATTCATATCATAAAATTTTTCAAGAAAGATGACGCAAATTCATCATAAGTTGAAGAGAAAAACAAATCTAGCACGTGAATTAAATCAAGAACTTAAAGAATCAAATCTTGGGATTGAAGATCAAGAAGAAAAAATAGATTTCGTATCTCTAAGTAATTATAAATTTCAGGTAATGGTTTTCCAATTCCTTTGTTGTTTTATCTTTAGAAATATACTAGGCTAGATTATTTTTGTGATGGGATGAAGATAACCTTATTATTTGTTTATTTTTAATTCAAAGACCAAGTAATTTAGTAAATTTGTGTTTTCGATTGATCTTATATGCTTTGTTGAATAATTTAATTGCTTAATTATCAATTAGGTAATTATTTACTTGTCGTAGTGCTAGAAGGTTCCCAATAGATTTAAAACTTTGTAATTTCAACACATGGGCAAGGGATGTTAGAAATAACATATATGGCGTATGCGATTATATAGATAATCTTGTAATTACGTTACTTTGCATATGAATTTTGACTAGAAATATGATCGACTCATGTTTAGAATAAGTTAAACTTACCTTGGGAGAGAAAGTTAAATAAAATTGGATTCTCGATTGTCATGAATACAAATCACACTAAAATCACATATGTCGAGAATTAAAAATAGGATAATAATAGATGAATTCAGAATCCCAACACATACATCTCATATTTAGTTAAAATCATCTTAGTTAATTAGTAGATAATTTAGGGAAAAAAATAAATCTCTTTTGATTAATTTTCATTCGAATTTGATAACGGATAAATACAAGTAAATATAAAGTTTATTCCCAGTGGCATGATACTGTCAATTTATCATTATTATTACTTGCCACGACCTCGTATGCTTGTGGATTTCACACGAACACAAAACATCAACAAACTAATATATTTGCCTTGTGAACCATAAGTTAATATGATTTTATGCAGTCCCACAGACCACCCCTCAAAGAAAAAAAGGTAAAAAATAAATAAATAAATGAAATTAAAAGTACCACCTACTCACAAAAAAAAAAAGTACATAGAAAGTCTATAGCTCCTATATTTAGAAAATTGTCAAAATAAAAGAAACAGTCATGATGTTATTCATTAATTAGGAACATGTAATCCAGCACAAAAGGAAAAATTTATATTAGAACTTACCCGTGCGGCTCCCTTTTTGTGAGCATGGTAAGTGGGACCATCTTTATACTCGCCGTACCAATAGTATGTTCTCGACCTCTCATCATATAGAATGCCACCTCCATGGGCTTGAATAGGATTTCCATCGGTGTCCAGCCATATTCTTCCTGGGTCATAGCAGAAACTGTTGTTTCCAGCATCCTTCATAGGATCTATAGCAGTTTTAGTATCAGGAAAAAATATGTGCCTTATTTGTGAAGACTCGTCAAGGAACTCATCAATCAAGGTAGTTGGCCGTTTAGGTTTCCGTTTAATAGCACGTGGGGATCGCTTCCTTGGTGGGGGCATTTGTATATTTTCCTCCTCCACCTCTTCAAGCTGGCGTAACAGTGGGTGGTGGATACCCATATGCATATCTTTATTTTGTACATCAGTGTGATGAACTAATGTGTAAAGATGCAGAAAAATAAGGCATCCCACGAGGCTCCAAAACACAACCACCAGTGAGCATCTGCTCCCTGCATTGCAACCTAAAGTGGTTGATTTCTTGTATTTGTTCCTCATCCTCATTTTGTTCCCTCTTCTATCTTCAAGTTAATGCTGAAAATAAGAAGTATGCAGATCCAAAACTAATGTCAACGATCACGCTAATTTTATTTAGAACACGGATAAATGCTTGCCTGCATATATACACAAGCAACCATTTTAGTTTTCTACTGATGATCTCTAAGCGGTTGCAATATTTTATAGTGTACATAAAATTCTGAAGATATTGATAAACAAACTGATCATTTTGGAGTACATTATGAAAATGAAAGGCAATTGTCATCTTGACAGATGGACAAAGTGCATATGTCGTAGTGCTTTTAAGTGTTTGTGAGCTATGGTTGCTACAAAACGTGTGAATAATAAGTGGGTAGTACTGGCACGGCCTAAAAATGTGTAGATAAAAAAGTACGTTTATAATTTAAGCTTTGTCAAACATGAAAAAATCGTATCCCTACAGTAAAACCATCAAACTGCAACCACCGAATTTACCATTTGGACCGAACTCAATCAATATAACAGTGTAATTTCGAAAAACAAATATAAATGATGAAACCGAAAAGAATATCAACAAGGATTTCTGAGATAATTCCTATCATTTTAACTGAAGAATTAAAACACATTTGTTCCATTTACAGCAGTCCAATCCATTCAGTGCCACAAAAAGATTGTCCTCAAAACAACTAAAGAAACGGCTAAAAAGGCAATAATTGAGAAATTAAAACGAACACTTAGAGTGTGATTTGTATGGAAAATATTTCCTAAAACAGAAAATGTTTTCCTTAAAAATAAGGAAAATTAGGCATAGTTTCAAGTTGGAAAACATTTTCAATGGAAAAAATAACAATCAAACACTTGAAAGTAGGAATTTGGGTGGAAAGCACATTTTTCATGGAAAATAAATGCAATCAAACACACTCTTAGTAATTTTATTTTAGATGGGAAAAGACTCCAAAACCCTACATGCCCATGGCAAACTAGATACGAAAGTAATAAAAAACAATATATATAAATTCATTGAGTTCAGACCCGTAATCAGATCGAAATAAATCCATAAAGCGGTTTCAAATTTAATACACACCCAATAAATTATAATCACAAATCAAACAAGAACACATCTAAGCAACAAATTGAAAATTTTCTGAAGTCTACCTAAAGTCAAATAAGCTTACCTGAAGACAACACAGTTCTTGACATGGGTATGCTGCTGTGTGCCCTCTTTTCCTCTTATCACCATATAAACTTCAATATCAAGAGGTAAAAATTATGATTTTTATAAATAATGATCTGGTGTTCATCTCTTTCAACAAGGTCAAGGTGTCCCAATTCCGGGTCAAGATTTTGTTCTTACGCGGCGTAGAGTGAAACTGGAAGAGAATATTTAAGCTGAGAGGGAGAGAGGGAGGGAGGGAGTAGATTCATTGATTTCAGATCAGGTCCCCGTCCTCTCTCTAAAATATCAGTGTAATCTGGAAGATTATTGAGTGACGACGTTTTACGGATTTAGTGCGTAGATTACATAGACGATTTCTGTAATTAAGGTAATAGATCTTGTTTTTTGTCGGATGGAGTTGACAATTAATTGCAACTCTGTTAAGCATTTCTTAAAAATAATTAATGGTTAATGATTTTTTATAGTGCCAACACGCACATAATGGAGTAGGCTCATGTTTAAGTCATGTTAAAATTTTTCATTCTCATTTTTCTACTCATTTTCAACTACACACTCTTCATAACCCATGTCACTAGCCATTTGGCATGTTTTACACTGGCTAGCTCAAGCTCGATCGACGCTTCAAAATGGAGATCAGCTCAATCCCATCGAGTCTTGAGCTGAGCCAACTCGGACTTTTCATGGGAAAAGTCACTGGCCAATCGAGCCGGATTAACATCTTTAGTCTCACTTCAAGGGATGGTAAGGTTAAGATCACCTTCTTTCATTTAACTACCTCCCTGATACACAGTGACACGCAGAGGCAAAGCCAGCCTGTTGAAGTAGAGAGGTCCTAGAGTTGAAGGGGTGGCGGTCCCACAAGGGTTCGGGGCAACGCCCCCGAAAATTTTTTTTTGAAACGTTATCTCTTAAAATGGGGGAAGTTGGTACTTTGTGATGGAAAAAGGAAACAAAAGAACATAAATTAATGTACATTATTAATAAAAAAATCAAGAAAACGTATAAAAGAAAGTACTAATCTTTAATTTAGCAAAATCATACCTTATTAGTTGAGAGATCGCTCAATTAATAGAAATCTAACTGTAATGGCATAAATATATCCTCTTAACAATATATTATTGATTGTTAATGAAACGATACAATTAATAGAAAATTGGTTTCGTTAGGTATAGAATTTGCCTTAATTGCTTATTGATAGAATATTTATTTACAATTGAAAATTATTGAACTAAATTAGGGAACCAATTTTCCTACTTTCGTATGACAATATGAATCATATACCAATTATACTCAAACGACACATTTTACATATTATTATTATTCGATACCATATATCAAATATGCTCAAATGGCACATTTGATATGTTAAACTCTAACAAACCAACAAACAAACATTTCATGTCTCTTTCTTTTCTTCATCATAAATATCAGTTTACTAAAATATCTGTACGAATGTTTCAAGAAAATTTTTTAAAAAAAAAATTGTCAAAAAAATTTGGGGGGGCGAGGGGGGGGTCCAAGTCCCCCAAGACCCCCCTGCCTCCACCCCTGGTGACACGGGCGCCATAAATGGCTTGTGTCACGAGCCATTTGGCCTGTTTACATTGGCTGGATCGAGCTCGATCGATACTTTGAAATGGAACTTGACTAAATCACATCGAGCTGCAAGCCAAGCCAAGCCGCTTTGACTTTTCAGGGCCATGTCATTGGACTCTCGAGCTGGATTAACATCCCTAGTCTCGCTTCAAAGGATGGTAAGGTTAAGATCACCTTCTTTCATTTAGCTGAGAGGTTTGAGTACTCTTCCTCATTGGCGCTACACATATGTAGTTTCAAATTTATCAAAACGACTATAATGATACATGTTATGGTTTTAGGATCCATGAATCCTATGTGGTTCATTTGTGGCATCCATATGAGAGTAACTGATGAGTGATCCGCACTCACGATATTTATACCACTTAATTTGTTACCCATGAGAGAGTTTTAGATTGTTTTTATGTGTGTTTTGATGTTGTGATGCAGGTTGATGAAATTGAAAAAAATAAGCAAAAGTTGACAAATTTGGAGAAAATAGCTAAATTGTAAGAGTTTCATAGTTCGGGGACTAAAGCGCAAATACTCAGAAAAACTTGTCACGCATTTTCTATAACGCGAATTATACCGTAAGTGTACGGTGTCAAGTTTTGTAATATAGTATTGGAGTAAGAGTGTCGAACCCACAGGATTGTAATCCAAATTTCTACTAAATACTATAATTATATAGTCTCTATTTTATCTAGATGAATGAATTTTATAATCAATAATTTTAACTAATCTAACGATGATTTT